CTGTCTCGAAGAACAAAACCAAAAAAACAAAACAAAACAAAACAAAAGAATCAAACCAGTAAACATGGCCTCAGCATCACTTCCTGCTTCCAAGTTACTACCTTGAGTTCCCACCCTGAATTACCTGGATGATGGACTAAAAGCTGTAAGATGAAATAAATCCTTCCCTTGCTAAATTGCAAAAGGTCGTGGTGTTCTAGCAAAACAATTAGAAGCCCTGACTTGTGTTTTGAGACAGAGTCTCGTTATGTAAACTTGGCTGCTCAAGGCTCCTCTGCAAGTATATTAAATGCTCTTACCCACTGAGTCATTTCTCTAGCCCAACTGTCATATTCCTTTTTTTTTTTTAATTTTAGTTGTCTTGTTTTTTATGTTTGTTTGAGACAGGGTCTTACTATGTGCACCACTCTGGCCTAGAACTTGCTATATAAACCAGGCTGGCCTTGAACTTACAGAGATCCACCTGCTTCTGCCTCTTCAGTGTCAGAACTAAAGGTATATGCTACCATGTCTGCTTCTTATCTTGATTTGTTGTTTAGATTTATTTATTTATGTGTATGTGTGTGTGTGTAACTGTGTGAGTCAATGCACACCAAGTGCGTGCAGAAGCCCATATCATACTAACCTTAGTGGCTAAGAGAAGGATATCAGATGCCCTGGAACTGGGGTTATAGGTGGTTGTGAACCACCACGAGGGAGCTGAACTAGGATCCTCTGCAAGAGCACTAAGCACTCTTAACTGCTGAACCGTCCGTCCAGTCTCTCCTACCACCCCTCCCTCTTTTTTGGTGGAGAGTTGCACTGGCTGCAAGACTGACAGTTTTCCTGCTTTTGTCTTTCCAATTCTGGTTTTACAGACACGAGCCACCACACCCACTCTCTCCTTGCTCTCTACCTTGATCCACTAAAATCATTGCCAATTGCAGTAAAGCATATCCAAATATCCTTATTTAGAACTACAACAGCTTCTGGGCTATAGTGGCTCATGCCTTTAATCCCAGCACTTCAGAGGCAGAGGCAGGCAGATCTCTGTGAGTTCAAAGCTAGTCTGGTCTGCAAAGTGAGTTCCAGGATAGTCAGGGCTACACAAAGAAACCCTGTCTCAAGAAACCAAAAATAAATAAATAAAATAAAATTACACCAGTTTAAAAGGAGAATCTAATTCACTACCACAGTCCTTTAGTTCAAAGTTTCATTGACCTTTCACTCTGTGGTCATTATCTGTGTTCTGACACGGCTCTATTTTCTTAATAAAATGAACCACTATCTTAAATCATATTAATTCATGGGTTATGGGTATAACAGTCCTAACATCTGGTCCCTACTAGAAAATAAGTTTCATGAAGGCAGACTTTGTCTGAGTCTCTTTTTGCCAAGAACATTGATTTATAACAAGAATGAAACAAATCTCTTCTAAATGAATGGATAAATGGATGCTTTTATTTTCACTTGAAGGAGGGAAGGCCTAAGGCATGGGTTCCATCTGGAGCTCAAAACAGATGTAAAGAGGGAGGAAGGGAGACAGCAAGAGAAAGGAAGGTCATTTCAGTGGTCAACATAGCGTAACAAAACACGAAGGCTGAAAACAACAAGGGGGTCTACAGATACTAACCTTAGTGGCTAAGATCCACTAGAACTACGTGCTGGGCATTTCCAAGCATTCTTGCCAGATACTTTTAGGTTGGGGAGGGGCACATCAGGGTTGCTCTCCCTCCAGGAGGCTCTTGCAGACCTATTTCTAGTATGAGATCATACACTGTAGCCAGGGCTGATCCGTCTGTCAGCCAGGAGAGAAACATTCCATGTCTTCTAAGTTTGGGCTGAATGTCACACAGCTAACGAGGCTTTACAGTGAGTCATGCTAATGGCAGGACACTTGTGAGTGAAAGGAACAGCTGTCCAAGCTGCTCTGGTCACAGCCCTTTTTGAACTGTGTTGTTCACTACAGTCATTCCTTCCAGTAACTTATACTCCTTTTTTTTTCTTTTAAAGCTTGAATACACTTTCATTAGAGTTTAAATGAAAATCTGGGTGGCAGAGACAGGCTGACTCTATGAGTTCAAGGCCAGCCAGGTCTACAGAGTGAGTTCCAGGACAGCCAGAGCTACTACACAGAAAAACCCTGTCTTGAAAAACCAAAAATAGAAAAAAAGAAAGAAAGAAAGAAAGAAAGAAAGAAAGAAAGAAAGAAAGAAAGAAAGAAAGAAAGAAAGAAAGAAAGAAAAACAACTCCAGGTTAGGCAAGCAGCCCAGAGGAAGAAGACAGAGAAGAGAAAGAGAAAATACCTCAGAGTTTGAGTTAATCTGGTGTAGGGCCAGCCACATGGTGGGCAAATACACATGGCACTGGGGAGATTTTTAGAGAAAGAGATAAATCCAGAGTATTAGGGAAAGCATACATAAGAAAAATATTGAGCACAGTGGCACCAGCCTTCAATCCCAGCACTTGGGAGACAGAGAGGGCAGAGGCAGCAGAGGCAGGTGGATCTCTGTGAGTTCAAGCCAGGCTAGTCTACGTAGTGAGTTTTAGAACAGCCAGCCAAAGCTACAAAGTGAGACCTTGTCTCAAAAAAACAAAACAAAACAGAGGTAGGGAGGGGAGGGAAGGTACTCTTTTCTGAGTCAGGACTTGGAAAGGCGGGCAGATAAAACAGAACCTCATGGTAATCGGGGTTTGCTGTACAGAGGGCAGGAAAACCTGTTTTTATTTTCTTGAGTCAGGGTCTTACTTATGTAGTGCTGTTGTACCCATTTCTCAAAACCCCCAGAAACTACCAAGGAGTTGGTTTCCAATGCAAGCACATAGGGGTCCTTTTATTGACTGGTTCGAACCTGGGTCACCAACCTATGCTCCAACACAGCAGATGGAGGGATATGCAGTGGCCCAGGGCTCAAGGGTTGGGGGAGTTTAAAGGAAAAAAAAAACCACAAAACGGGAATTACATGCCTTGGCGGTTTTTGGGATCAGGTAGAAGGGATATGGGGCAAGGTGATTTTTTTTTTTAAACTATTGGTCTAGACTTTTGGTGCAAAACTACATTTGAAACTATTAAGTTAGACTTTTGGTGAAGGGACCACAACTTGCTGACAGCATTATCTGGATATCTCCAAGGGTCATAAATCACAGACAGAATGTCTGCAGGAACATCTGGATCTTGTTAAACTTTACTGCCCTGTATCTGTTTGAGTTGTCATGGCACATTCCTGAGATTCTTCCTAGAACTGAGTACAGCAGGTGGTCTAAGATAGTGGCCCTTCCCTAAGATTTAGCCTATAAAGTCAAGTCTAGGCCTTCACAGTATAGGATGGCCTTGAATTCTCCTGCCCTAGCCTCTCTCAGTGGTGCTAGAATTACAGATAGGAACTATCATACTTGGCTAGTACTTTTTTTTTCTTCAGTGATAGGACTTGAACTCAGGACCTAGTACATGCTGTGCCCGACAGGCATCTTCCTCAGAGTAACATCCCCAGGCTGTCTTCAGTTTTTAAAGCCAATATAGCAAGATTTATTTGTTTTGTTGATAAAAACTTCTAAAAATTAAACAACCCAAATTTTTGGAGACAAGGAAGGTTTCACTATGTAGCCCTGGCTAACCAGGAACTCGCTATGTATACCAGACTGGCTTTGAGCTCACAGAGATCTGCCTGCCTTTGCCTTCTGAGTGCTGGATTAAGCCATGCTCATCTTAAATCAATTTTTTTTTTTTTGTTGCTGTTGTTTTTTGAGGATAGAGTCTCACTATGTATCTTGGCCAGCCTGGGACTCACTATGTCAACTAGGATGGCCTCAAAGTTACAGATCTCCACCAGCTTCTGCTTTCCAAGTGCTGGGATTAAAAAGTGTGCACCAGCACACCCAGTTCAAACCCAATCTTTAATGAAACTGGACTCTTGCCTGCTCCATTTAATCCTCGCACAGCTACACATTTTACATAGGAAAACAAGGCTTGAACAGCGCCCATACATTTCTTAGAACAGAGCAAGAGTCCACCCCGACCTTGTATCACGTTAGACAGAGTTTTGAAGCCCTACCTGTTTCTGAGGAGAGGCTTGGTTCTGTGGTTTAGGATAAATAAGAAAATTGGCCAGGTATGGTAGCACATGCCTTTGATCTCAGCACTCGGGAGGCAGAAGTAGGCTGATCTCTATGAGTTCAAGGCCAGCCAGGGCTACACAGAGAAACCCTGTCTCAAAAAACAAAACAAAACAAAACAAACAAAATCAAACACGCAAAAGAAAAAAATTCAAAAAATCAAAAAGGAAAGAAAGAAAGAAGGGAGGAATAAAAAGAGAGGGAGGGGAAAGGGAAAGGGGAAGGAGGAAAATAAAATGCTGGTAAAAAGAACAAGTGAATCTCACTCTTAGGTTCACTCAGAGATTCTGCATTCTTGTGCATCAGCAACTATTAGCAGAGAAAGCTACATCAACACAGAAAGCCCAAAGGATGAAAACATTCTTCCCAATGACAAACAGTTGGCAGTTTCAAAAGTTGTTTTTAGCATCATAAAGACCCATTTTTAATAATTTTTGCTCAGAGATGGCTGCTCAGGAGGGAGTCAGACAATGAAGAATAGAAATGGATAGATTGTAATGATTTTTTTCAAAGATGTATTTATTCTTATTTTATGTATATAAGTGTTTTGCCTGACTGTGTGTACACCATATGCATATAGTACCCAGTGAGGCCAGAAGAGGGTGTTGGATTCCCCAGTTACAAACGGTTGTGAGCCACCCATGTTACTAAGTATGTATGAGGCTCACATGTGTAAGGATTATGTTCTTAATTATGTCACCAGCCTGCGACAGCGTCCCAGCCTAAAAAGTGGGTGTGCCCTCTGTGCGTTCCCTCCCCACTCCCTCCTTCTGTTCTCTTCCCGCCATGCTCTCTCTCTCTCCTCCTCCTCCTCCTTCTCCTCCTTCTCCTCCTCCTCCTCCTCTCTCCCCCTGTCTCCCAGTAACTCTCTAGAAAGGTAACCATGGCTTGTGATTCTTCTGATCAGCACTCTCTGCTGGCATGGCCGCCGCAGGCCGAGTGCCACAGCATAACCAACATTTGGTGTCGTTCAGACTTGGATAGACCACCAAGGACCTGCTATTACCTATGCCCCTTGCCACCTCCTCCCCCATCCAGCGAGACCACGAGCGCACGCATCCCTTGCCTCTACTGGACCCCTACACAGCTACCACTACTGCTACCACCATGGTTCTTCACCACGGTGAGTCTGCCGTTCTCGTGGCCATAGTCTGAGCTATATTCTTTGCAACGGACACCCCGGGGGTTGTCCTCGGGCTGTGCTGCAACGGCAGGCACATTTTTGCTCCTGACAAGGGGGTCAATGCTGTCTAGGGTCCACCGTTGACCAACTGCAGTGCAGCCACAGCCCTTCCCATCCCTTGACAAAGAGGACAGGAACTTGAACTGATTCTTAGATCTCTCTCCACTCTCAGGAACACCCGAGATTGGAGTCTGATCCCAGTTTGTTATTTTAATTTTTTATTTTTCTCTTGGCTACAGCCATGGGACAAAGGGGCGGATACATTTACCACCTACACTGGCAGATAGGGGCGGGTACCGGTAAACCTGGCCACATAACAGCATCACGGGAACTTCTGCCAGTGAACGAGCAAATAAAAGAGTTACTTTATCCCCAAACTTTCTGCTAAAGCTCTCAACCCTTCTCCCTCCCCATTTCTGCCTCTGCCACGGGCAACCTTTTCTGTCTGACTTCCACCGGCAGTGGGCGGGCTCAAACGGCAGCCTTGGGTGGCTTCTATGACTCTCGCCCTAACTCACCTTAACTCCACATACTCATTCTCAAACAGCCTTGAGAGACACAGGTCTGGAAGCAGCTAAGATTCATATAAATAAGTTTACAGTAGTCAGGATGGCTCTTAAGCCAAAAATCAACTAATAGGCTCAGACAAATCTTCCAAAAGGATTGGTTTATAGTCTGCCTCCTGGCAGATCTTCCAAAAGCTGTCCTTAAGCCACCAATCATCAGGGGGAAAAAAATTCAGGACATGGAACAAAATCTGTCTCTTGTTCCCCAGACCTCCCCAACTAAAACTTAAGCATCTGGAGAGCAAGGCTCCTGATCCCACAGGCAAGAGAGTCATCTGTGGCATTTAAGGTGTGCCAGGGAAGAGATAAAAGCCCAAAAACAAAATTCTCAAGTGCTGACACACGCCAACTCCCAAAAGCTGTTGGGTCCCTGTTTTAAGTGAGGAAAAGGCCACCGGCTAGCGAATGCCCTACCAGGCCATCAACAGCCTTGTTAAAAGTGCCGCCAAGAAAGACAAAGAGTCAGCTGTGTAGTGGGTAGCCATTCCAGCTTGGATCTGGAGGTTCCAACCCCCATTGAGACTCTGGCAACTGTCACGCCTACGAGGCGGGGCCAGGGGAGGCGCCTGGAGACCCAAGAGCTGGATGGGCCAGTGCTCTCTCTGTATCGGGACGCTGAACGTTGCAGGTGGACTGAGCAGAGCTCCAGAGAACACCGCTGGACTGCAATACACCTTCCCCAGACCCTGCGACCTACCTTTCACTTAATTTGTGAGTTACGCCATTAAATAAATATCCTTTTAACTACGTGGAGTGGCCAAAATAATTTCTCCAATACAGCTGACTGCCCCCAGGCACCAAGATGCATGGGTACATCAAGCTAAGACCTCCAGCAGACCTAGGCTTGGCTAAAGACATGGCAGGGAACCCAGAACGTAGCAGGGAAGCGATCCGTTTCTTTCCTTCTGGACACCAGAGCCACTGACTTGGTCCTGGGAGTTTTGGGATGTCACCTCTCCTTTCTCTATTGTCGGGTACAGAGGACAGCCTTACCCACCTCACCAGATTTAATTGCACTTTTAGAGTTACTACCTGTGTTTCTCACGTGCATACAGACAGGGCCCTGATCTTTGCCTTGTCCCTAATTACAAAAAAAAATAAGTTCTCATGCACCACAAGCTTCTCTTCCCAGTCTGTTCTTGTTTTTTTTTTTTTTT